GTTTCTGGGGAGGCCCACAGCACACCAGGCACCAGGCCCCTTGGCCCCCACAGGCCTGGGTTCACTCATTTGTTCATTCCAGTCCAGCCTATTCCACTGAATAGACTTCATTTATTCATGTGTGCAAGCAGCATTTCTTATTCCATGGAAAGCCAACCCCCTTGGCTTGGATTGGGATGGTACACCGAAGCCCTGAACACCTGGAGGTGGTTGCAGGGGGCTAAAGCCATGGTGGCCTAGGGACCCTCCTCAGAACACCGATCAGAGGTGAGCAGGCCGTGGTTATCCAGATGTGCCACTCTGCCACAGGGCCACATGGCAGCCTCCCCATCGCATCTCTCAGGCCCTCTGCTAGAGGCCCCGCCGAGCAGAATGGCTACAACAGTTCCCTTCTCCCACACAGCCTGAGGGACAGAGCTGCGCGTTCTCACCTCCCCACCAGCCCCGTGAGGAGCCAGAGCTCAGAGAGAGTCGTGGGCAGAGTGGTCGATAGCGGGGTAATCTGGGTTCAATCCTACTCTGAGGCTTCCTGCTATGTAACACCGGGCAAGTTCATTGCTTATCCTCCAGGCCTCGGGGTCCTCATCTGTCAAATGGCGATACTCCAACGCCATGGGTGCCAACCTTCCTGCGGGCTTCCCGGGGGCCCCCTCAGGCAGCTGTCCTGGCTCCTGAGTGATGCTCCTCCTGAAGAGCAGTAAGCAGAAGTTCCTTCTGGTTTCTTACCGCGAGTACAACTCCACACATTTCTTTCTTTTCTCTTCTCATCTGCCTAGAGTCCATTTAGTTTTGATTAGTAAAAGTTGAAAGGGTCTTAAAAGATCACCAAAATTTGAGGATCCTAAGTGCCAGTTAGTGGGGCCCAAGACCTCTGCTTCCAGGTTTGATTGAGAGCCTGGCTGACTCACAGCAAGGTCAGTTTCTTGACACGTACGAGAAGTGTGGGTCTTGGCAGGCGGGACAGGCCCGTGGAGAGGACGAGGTCCTTGCTGTGGCCATCAGTGGCTGTGGTTCTCAATAACACCAGCTCTGGCTTTTCCAAAGTGAGTGTCTGCTCGGAGCTCTGTGACATGGTCAGTTTCACTTGGGAGTCGTGTGGTCACCTGACTCGAGGTGGTGATGCATGTCAACCCGTGGTACTTGGGGCCTAGGGTTTTCCAGTGACTAGGCCGTCAGCTGCATTTGCACTGCAGCCCATCCCCATCTGTTCTACTAGCACAGACTACGTACAATCCTCCCCCAACTGGCAGGTCCAGGAGCACCGTGTGGGAGACGAGCCACTCAAAGAGCTTGCCACGTCCTACCAAGGTACACATATCAACCTACTGGGTAACTTTAGGTTTCTGAGGCATTGTTTTGGAAGACAAAATGCATGCATATGCTCACATTCTCCCCTAGAGTCAGTAAGAGGTAGCTCGTAGCTGTTAGGAGGGACAAGTGTCTTCCTCCCCTTGACTCTTCTCTGGCAGGAAGTCATCAAGGAGCTCATTTCCCTTGCAGAGTGGGGTGTGTGGGGTTGGTGGCAGCTGGTTCTGGGATGCTGGTGTGGAGTGGAGGGTGGCACGGGAAGAGCAGGGTGAGCAGTGGCAGCCCAGGCCAGGCCACCCCGCACAGGGGGGTCTCCACCCACACGTGGACCCCAAGAGCCCGGCTCCCCGAAGCCCTGACCCCTCTCTTGGGGCTGGCAGGGCGAGAAGGGACAGGCTGGCCACCCAGACAGACCATGAGTCAGGCGCTCAGCCCTGCTGCTCCCTAGGCCCACCTGGAGATGAAGGCCACCGGACCTGGCTCCACAATGTAGCACCCGGCACCTGGGAAGCAGAGACACTATGCCATGGGCTGGATCTTCAGGAGGAGCCTCAACTCTGCCTGCGAAGTCTTCTACCTACTCCTTCTCTGTAGCAGTGCAACCCAGTGCATTCCTAGCTCATCTTGTAGGGCCTCTCAGCCTCCCAGGACTTACAAACAGAGGCCACTTTCTTGAAGGGAGTAGCTATGTAAATGTGGGGCTTCCCAATCTTGAGGCCCCCTCAAGACTTTCTGGGTCAGCTCCTTGGGTGTCATGTGGGGCTATCCCTCTAGCCCCTCTGATTTTGGAGACTATCTTCTGGGGGAAGCCATGGGCTCAGTGTCAGGACTCCTGTCTCAGAGGCCAGCATCTAGGGCTCCATAAAACACTGTTTCCATTTTACGGTTCACCTTTGACTCATGAACCTGAGGAGTAAGTGTTGGTCCTGAAATTCAAGTAGGAGTTACAAGTCGCCATGGGCCAAACCCAGCCCAAAGGTATGTTTTGTTTAGTTTGGACAGTTTTATATTTTTAATCAGGAAGTTTTACATAAAAATGAAATCAGATAAAATTAGATTCCTTGGCCTACAGCAAGAGACCTGAGTAGCAGGCCACCATGGTCCCCACCACTCCCTATTGCCTGCCACCTGGTCTCTTCAACACCTGCTAGGCCCTGTTGGCATCTGGCCTTGTCACGGAAGTGAGAGGCCCCAGGGAGCACCCGGGCTGGGGGTGAGGGGCAGATGGGAGGACATCTAGATGATATTTAGACTGCCTCGCCCACTGTGTTGCCCTGCAGAGCTAGCACCGAGGCCCATAGGCCACATTTGACCCAGCTCCACCCACAGTCTGGGGGCTTGCACAGCTCTCCCCTGAACCGCTCCTGCTCTGGGAGCCTTAGATGGGACCAAAGCCCTGGGCCTCCGCACCCCAGCACTTGCAGCTCGCAGCCAGCATCGCTCCTCCTCCTCCACCTGGCACTGGGTGTCTCAGGTTCACTGAAGAGTCTTTCACAATTAATGCACTTCAAAAAGGTTAAAAGTAATTCTTTATGGGAGGAATCGGCAGGAAAAGACAAGCAGGAGGGGGGTGAGGAGTGGGGTGGGTGGGATGAAGGAATCTGACCAGTTATATTTAATAAAAAGCTTAAAAGCCACAAACAGGAAGCAGACCTATTAAAAAGGCAACACTGACCTAACAAAGGAATGTGAACTTGAGTTGACTGAAGCAGCGGCACTGTGTCTCCCTCCCTGTACTCCCACCCCAGCACCCAGGGCCCCCAAACAAGCCTCCTCTTGTACTCTGGCCTGTTCTGGGAACACCCCAACTCTGAGCTTGCCTCAGGCTAAAGGAAGGGGAGCTGAGGGAATGTCGGCATGACTCTACACACCCCCCAAAAAGGAAACAGATGGTGCTGTCCTTCCCTTGTCTGAACCAGCAGGCCCCCACAGCTGGGGGAGGGATGAGTGTTCCAGGGTGCAGCCCCCCAACTCCAGGCAGCTCCCCTCTGCCCTCCCAGTGCCCTGTACCCCTCCTTCCAGTAAGCCCCCACAGGTACAGGCCCAGGGCCCTGGGAACAGAGGTCTGGACCTTGGCCTGCCTGGCTCATGCCTTATGTGTGCTCCTTGGAACCCAGAGCAGGGCACTGTGGACCCCGGTTTGGCTGAGGTAATGACCAGAGCAGTGGAGAGGACAGGACAGGAGCCTGAAGCCTGGTATCATGGTTAGAGGCTCCTATCCGTGGGCCACTTTGCCTGCCCCAAGGGAGTATCTCCAACTGCGACAGAGCTGAACTCCACCCTGACAGAGACCTCGGGGTACAAACAGTGGTTCTGAGGGCCACAGGGAAGCAGGCCTCTGATGCCTGCTGCCCTTCCTCACGAGAGGGCAAATGCCACACATGACACTCTGGGCTTGCGGAAAGACTCAGGAGGCAAGGCCCCTCAGCCAGGCTCTCAGGAGAGCAGAGGGTACTGACTTCACTCAGTGAGCTGCCAGGGAGCTGGCATTCCTGTTTCCTTGCTCGGCCAGGGCACTACCCTACCTGGAGATTTCACTCAAGAAGCTACATACCAATAGCACGTTGCTGACCGGATCTGAACCTCCCCATGGCTTTCCAACCCTCACAAGAATAAAACCCAGAGTCCTGCAGATAGGCAAAGTACAGCCACAGGCTGATATGAAATCAGGCTTTCTCTGTAACATCCTTCAACTCTGCTGCATGTTTGGGAACTGGCCTAACACAATGCTGGCGAAGAAAAGTGGCATCCCACATGCCTCCCAGTTCGTGCCAAACAACCACTCCTCAAACGCACACCCAAACTCACCCTTACCCCAGGGCCTTTGCGCTTGTCCCCTCTCTCCACAGAGTGTTCCTTCCCTTGGCGTCAGTGGGGCTCCCTCCTTCCCTTTGGTCAGGGCCCTACTCAACTGTTACCTCCTCAGAGAGGTCCTCGCTGATCGCCCCTGTCCAGAGGTACACACACAGTGCTTCTCACCCTCTCCCTGCTTTATTTTTCTGCGACGTACAGTAGATACTCACCGAATGTGTTCCCACCTGTCCCCTCCCACGACCACAGCAGCCTGCCTGGTGTGTGGCAGGACCTCCAGAAGATGGGTGTGGGGTAAGTGCAGCAGTGATGGAAGGGAGGGCCAAACTAAAGAGATCCAAGGGCTCTATTCCCAAGAGCAAGGCACACCTTTGACCCCACCATGGATAAGTCCCAACTCAGATCCCTCAGAGGCTCAGCACCTATTGTTCTCCACCGGGCAAAAAAGTAGGTGGCAACTCATATTCTGGGAAACCGTACTGACTACTGGGGCAGTATGCCAGGCCCCTGGCAGTCTCTCTCACCAACTCTTCCTCCAAACCACCTCCCAGATCAGGATTGGTATCGCACTTCACAGACAAGCCAGGTAATTCACCCAAGGTCACCCCTGTATGGTTTACTGTGGAGCAGGAGCTCAGACTCACACCTTGACCCTGGCTCAGACCAGAGGCTGACTGTACACCAGCCCCCCCAGGACCCACCCTGGCTCTCCAGCCACAAGCCCGTGGGACAGGAAGCCATGACGTTGAGAGGGCTGGGCCCCGTGCATCAGCTCAGGCAGGCTGAGCATCCTGAGCCAAGGGGCACTGTCCATGCACTGTCTCCACCATCTCTCCCTGCCTGCACAGTACCTGCCAGTGGGAGGAAGGGACTGCACTCACCAGGGATGTGGATCTTGAACTTGCCACTCTGGCCGAAGGCGCTGTCGATGACCCCCAGCTCCCCGGTGGATAGGTACACCTTGAGGCCCACAAAGAGCTGGATGTTGGTCTCCTTTTTGAACAGGGAGCGGCCGATCACGCTGTGGTCATCCATCACCTGTCCCCACACACCCAGCCCCAGAGAGAGCATCAGTGTGTGCTAGAGGAGGCCAGGCCTGCTGCCGCTACCCCCCGCCCCCCGCCCCCACCTGGTGATCTGCCCATCTCACTGACAACGGAATGCACTGGGGCCATGTGGTGGCCAGCCCTCATCACCATCACCACTGACCTCCAGTGAGCCCCGGCTGCTGCCAGGCCACCTGTGAGAACTTTATGGGGGTCACACTTAGCACCACAGCAGCAATGGGAGGGAGGCACTCTTTCCTCACTTTACAGACACAAACTGGCGACACAGCAGAGTTAGGCCATCTGTCCAAGGTCACAGAGCTCCCAGGGCAGAGGGAACTCAGAAGCCACAATCGCCCTGCCTGCACCTGCCTCTGCGTGGCCACTGCACCCTGCCTGTCCTTGAGCACTTGTCTAATGATGGCTAGCAGCACTCTCCTCAGGAAAGCTTGCATGGACACCCCAGGTCGAGAGGATGACATCCACTCCTGATCCTGCAGCAAGGCTTTCTAGAACTCGCCTCGCCCTCTCTCTGCTTTTCCCTCCCACAAGGAGTGTCTGAGAACGCAGTCTCTGCTGCTCCAGCACTCTCTGCACGTATGTATTTCAGCCAAGGCTTTCCTCACTCTGTCAGAGCCCCTTCCTAGCCTGGCCCACATCTACTCCACAGCCCCGCTGCCCCCTCTGCATGACGCCCTCCCGCCCCCATCCCGGCAGAAGCCCCAGCTCCCCTGGCTCCCTGCTGGCCATGGCCAGGCCCTCTACTGCTGAACCTGTGCCCCTCACCTCTTTGTGGAGGCTCAGGTTGACAGAAGGGACATGCGTGTGTGTGAAAAAGCCAACCTGGTACAGCCCTGATTTCAGTACGAGCTATGTTCACCTTGAACCTCTCCCCAGGGACCGACCATGAGAAGGCTGAAGAACCATCTCCCCTCAGGGAAGGTGGCATGGCCTGAAGCTCCCCAACCCCCCAGGTGGCCTCCCCTGCCCTGCCCGGTTCCTTTCCAGGGCCGGTGCCAGGAAGGGGCCAGGCGTCTGTGTAAAAGAGAGAGAAAGGGTGTGCGTGTGTGTGTGATATGAAAGACTAGACCCTCTCCCAGATGACCTCAGAAAGGCTAACACAGAGCTTCAGCCTGAGAGTTGCTGCTACTGTGGGGCAGGACCCATGCCCCACCTGGCATCTGGCATGCCACAGCGCAACAGGGGAGGCTTCCCCCTGCTCTCCAGGCCCCGCGCACAGGGTTGAGTGTGAGCAGGCGCCAGCCCGGGCAGCAGCGGGGAGGCCGGAAGCGCTACCAGCGGTAGCACCTGCGGCCTCCACGTGCTCTCCTCCTGAGGCTGAGGCTCACGGGGGACCCCCGTGGGCTGGGCTGTCCTCAACCTCAGAAACCTCTCACTTCTGCCCAAGACGCCAAGATTGGGCCAAGGGCCCCAGATGGATTGTTTTGAAAGGTAGAAACTGTCCCATTTACCCTAAGACCCTTTTAGAAAAACATACCCTATTCTATTTGATTCATAGTGCCAGATAAAAGGTACTCGCATTCCTCCTCTCCCCAGTGATGGATGAATTGGATACAAACAACGATAAGAATAATCATTTCCACTTGCATAGCCCTTTATAATTCACAAATCTCATTCCCACACATGAACTTCTCCTCGTCCTTCAGGACTCGGCTCCAGCACAGCTCCCCTGTGGGCTGGCTTGCCGTGGGCTCTGCCTCATCTGTGGGTGCTGCTGGGTCAAATGAATGGAGCCGGCTCCTCTGACCTGCAGGACACGGAGAGCGAGGGCGAGCAGATGTCACCAGCCCCACATGCTTTCCCGGGCTCCCCGGCTCCCAGAAGTCCTGTCTCCACACCCATCAGAGTGGCCTGCATGTGGAGTTCCGTTCCCAGCCTGGCCGGAGCCCGGGAGGCAGGGCTGCCTCTCACATTCAGCAGCCTCGCCTGGTACAGTAGGGGCCCAGGCTGTTTAGCTGAACTGACCCTATGGCTCTGGATTAGCCATTCCAGAGGTGCTCTGTGCCACTTCCTGTCCCAAGCTCAGCCTGTGCTACAGAGAGGCCACCTGTCCTTAGGAGAAAGAGACTGCCTCAGGGCACCTCAGCCTATGACAGAGTCATTTAGCAGGGCCCCACTGAGCCCTCGAGCACCCCTGTGTGCAAGGGGTTTTCATTCCTACTTCAGGGTGGTTAGAGGGGAGATCTGAGGGAAGTGCTTGTCGCCAGAGCCAGCGGCACAGTAGAAGCTCAAACCCAAGCATGGCGAGCTTCTGCAGAGCCTATGCTCCAGCATTCAAGCAGAGAAAGACTGCACTGACCACACCCCCCACCCCAAGCTGGAGAAGCAGGCGGGTCTGGTGCTGCCGCGAAGCCCTGGGGCACTCTGGGCAGGACGGGTGGGTCCCAGGCCTTTGCTGGCCTGTGAGACAGAGCCAGCTGAGACAGAAGACCTGTCCCCAGCATCATAGCTGGCTGAGAGATGATAAAGCACAGTCCTTGCACCAGGAGCTTACAACCTACCTAGAGAACCATCTTATAAAAGGCACCACAGGGACCCAATGGGCAATCCAGGCAGAAAATTCACCCCAAATTCATAATGTCCTTCCTTTCTCCCTACAAATACTTATCGAGAGCCTACCATGTGCCTGGTGTGTCACTGAGGACAAATCAAAGCTCCTGCCTCAAGCGGCTCATGCATATCCTTGTGGGAGGTAATTACATTCTGCCTTTGGACTGCTCACTGCAGACAGGGCGTCCCCATCTCTGGGCAGGCCCTTGGTGCCCAGCAAGGGCCCCAGTCAAGGCCTTCGTGCCTGTGGCCCCCTGCACCCCAGCCCTTGCTCCTCTGCACACCCTGGTCCTCTCTCTGTCTTCGGAGCACAGATCATCCCTGATATTACGCCACCGTTTTATCTGTTACTTGTTTACTCCTCCCAAGCAGGACCCAGGTCTGAGAAAGCAGAAACATGGCTCTCTTCTCCACAGCTGCATTTCCTGCATGTAAACACCACTTACCATATGTGCGCTCCTTGAATGCCTAAGTCAAAGTGGAACATGTACATAACTGATTGTTGGTACATCTGCAATGCTCAGTCCTGCCTGTGGTCTTTCATCTTTTAACACTTCATTGAGGCATAACTGATATATAACAGCATGTACATATTTTAGGTAAAACTTGAGAATTTGAGATATACATAGATACCCATGAAACCATTACCATCAAGCTAGTGAATATAATGAACATGTCTATCATCCCCCCACCCTCTTCCCAACTCTGTACCCACCCCAGACCCCTGGCAGTCCTCCCAGGCTCAGCTTGGACAAGCTTTCCTTCAGACAGCCTCCCCACGTGGCAGGCACCTCCTGTCCCAAGGCCTGGCCGCTCTGTCTCATCACAGGCAGTTGGCCTGTCTGTGTCCCTCACCAGACAGACTGGGAGTTCTCTCTCACATGGCCCTGACCCACGAAAGGTCCCAGTAAATATGCACATGATACGCAGGTGGGGAGGGAGACAGAAGGTGACTCTTGGCTCCTTGGGGGCAAAAGAAAATCACTCAAGCGGACTCGTGGTTGGTGGTACATTTCATTCGATAGGGAGCCAACAGCCTCACCTTGCGCCTTGTTCCCCTGCCCGCCCCAGAGCTGGTCATCCCTGACCCTGGAGCACAGCGGCCCATCTCTTGGCCTTCCAGTGGGCCTGGCGGCTGGGTTTCACCGTGACCAGGGCCACGGGGTGGCTGGCAGGCATGCTACCTATTAGCAAGAAGGCATTTCACAAGACTTTCTACTGCATCTTCTCCCCTGCCTCCCCCTTTCTTTTGGTTATAGAATATTAACTTAAAAAGTGAAATGCCACAGACACGGTGGAGGATCCATCTTCTCCCCCAAGCCAAGGACTTGCAATGGGGGCAGACTAATTTTATTAACTTCAGGGGAACTTCAAAAAGCTTCAGGGCTTTCAAGGCAGACTGCAACGACCCCAAAGTTGGTTTAAGTGCTACATAAACAAAAGCCTAGGGCTGGGGAAGTGGAGGGCTCCCAGCACTTCTTGTTTATGTTCTCATCTGACCAGGCGGGCCAGCGTGCGGGCTGGCGGGCCCTGTAATCCTGCTGGTGTGTGGTGCCGGTCAGTTCACTGACCTACATTACCACAATATTTTTTTAAGCATCCGGGATAAGGTGAGGAGCGAATGGGCTTTTTCTGACCCTCTGAGGAGGGGCCCGCGGGGGCTCCCTCTTGCTTGCTGCTTTGTGGTCTCCTTGGGGCTGGAGTGGCAGTTTAGAAAGGATTCAAGTTCAAAGGGAGTGCCTGTGTCACTCCTGTTCTCTTGTTTTATGGCTTGGCCAGAGGGCCTAACAGCACTGATTAGGTGTAACGTCCCCTCCTGCTAACGTCTGTGTCTTCAATTCCACTTGCAGGGTCAGGCAATGTGGGTGAGAAGGCTGGCCTTCAGCACACTGCCAGGAACCCAGTGTGGTCTCGGGAATGCTGGTACCCCCAACCCCTGCCCGCTGATGGTCTGCGCAGTTATTTCCAGCAGCCTGGGTGGATCCTTCCAGGAGCCAGAAGATGGCCTAGACGGGCATTATGGACACGAGCCGCCAGGGCAGGGAGAGAAGCTGGCAGCAAACTCCTCCTCCCTCAGACTATCCAGCCCTCTGCACCTCCTCTCCCATCCCACCCTCAGCAGATGAGAGCCACGAATTGTCCTCGGCCATGCTCCGTGAGAGGCACCTCCACACCATTAGTGAATCTTCAGAAAAGCCCTATAGGGATTCAGCAAAATGAAATGACTTGCTCAAAGTCACACGTTCCAGCTTTCCCTGCATTTGCCCCCATGGCATGAGAGCAGAGGAGATAGAGGTTTGGTGGCAGTGAATGAGCCCAGCCTGTATTCAAAGCACAGTCCTTGCTTTGAAAGCCAGGGCACTGCCCACCCTCTGGGCTCCCCTGAGCCAAGCCATGACTGGCTAGACCCAAACTTGCTTG